TCGTTGAACGGGGGGACGAGAATGTTCAGTCGATGTTCAGTCGTTGGACGGGGAGACGAGAATGTTCAGTCGATGTTCAGTCGTTGAACGGGGAGACGAGAATGTTCAGTCGATGTTCAGTCGTTGAACGGGGGGACGAGAATGTTCAGCCGATGTTCAGTCGTTGAACGGGGGGACGAGAATGTTCAGTCGTTGAGCGGGGGGACGAGAATGTTCAGCCGATGTTCAGTCGTTGAACGGGGAGACGAGAATGTTCAGTCGATGTTCAGTCGTTGAACGGGGAGACGAGAATGTTCATGAGTAATTCAGTGATACATACAATTGTTACAATGCTACATGATGTACGTCTGTTTTTGTATTGTGTAACGTTGATGTATTACGTCACCATTGACACAGAACTAGATCTAGGAGGCGGGCTGAGAGTGAGAGGGATACAATCAGCAGAGAGTGAGAGGGATACAATCAGCAGAGAGTGAGAGGGATACAATCAGCAGAGAGTGAGAGGGATACAATCAGCTGAGAGTGAGAGGGATACAATCAGCAGAGAGTGAGAGGGATACAATCAGCAGAGAGTGAGAGGGATACAATCAGCAGAGAGTGAGAGGGATACAATCAGCAGAGAGTGAGAGGGATACAATCAGCTGAGAGTGAGAGGGATACAATCAGCAGAGAGTGAGAGGGATACAATCAGCAGAGAGTGAGAGGGATACAATCAGCTGAGAGTGAGAGGGATACAATCAGCTGAGAGTGAGAGGGATACAATCAGCAGAGAGTGAGAGGGATACAATCAGACAGACCGAGATACTCTATGAACAAAATTTCTTCCCACTCGCAAATCAAATGTGTGTCTGCTGCGTACCACGGCCAAGTGTTGAACCGCCACAGCACAGATCATGTTGATGTTCTCAAGTCTGCTGAGTGCTGGGGCAGTCATTTCGTGATTTCGTCATTGAGTGTTTAGATTATAGAACTGTGCATGCGCTTGCTGGTGGTGGGAGAATGCGTAAATAGAAACGATAATTGTTACCTTATTAAATTATGATCATAACAATAATTATTGCCTGTACTATTATTACTATTGTAAATTATTGTTACTGGCAGGTGTCTGTGGTGAAGATGTCAGGCCCTGCTCTGTCTGCTGGGATGCTGTAACTCTCTCCCTGGGAAAAATTCAAAATTTCCTATCAACTGAAAATGTTTGGTGTGTCCCGCGTGCTCATATGACCTTGTGCAGTTGCGAGCGCCGTAAAACACTTACAAAAAAAACCAAAAAAACGTCTGCTCCTGGGGGGATGGTACAGTTGTACTTATACAGTCCGTGCCGGCTGTAAGCACGTTTCGGACTTAAGCACGCTAAACGGCTCTTACCGAATTTTTGCTATATAAATTACACGCCTTTAAGCACGGGAACTTCGGCTTCAAGCACGCTTCATTTACAAGACAGTCAATATTTTCATGATGACCCATTGAAGTTCGAACACAGTCTACACCGCAGCAGTGGAGTGTGTCAAGAGAAACACAAAGAACGCAAGTGATGGACACACACACTCACACGGGCGGAGAGGAAGGCAGAGAGATGCACACAGCCGCGCGCGCGGACATAGGATCCAGCCTAGGCCTAGGGCAAAGTTACACACGACCAAAAAAAAATACAAAGAGAGTCGGGGAGACGAGAAAGGGAGGCTGGCTGCGATTTCACCTTTGATCCTCGCTATCCATTATTCCTGATTGTGTATCACGCGCGAGGTGGGATGAAGGCGGTGGTATGAGTGGCACAGCGGGCAGTGGTACACACAGGCAGTGTGTTACAGTAGGCCTAGTGTGCTGTATCGTGACTGGCGGTCTAAATTAAGTTTTCATTTCCCATTCGACCACAAAACAAAAACAAACAAGCGAACAAAAACTACCATGGCGGGTGTCTAAATAACAGTGCACACTTTTGCGGGACCGCTATAGGCCAACTTACAAACTAAGGGAAATAGCACGGGAAATTTTCTACATGAAAATCTCTGGATTATGTCTACTTCGCACTTAAGCACGCTTCGGCTTTAAGCACGCTTAAGCTTTCTCCCGACGACCGTGCTTAAAGCCGGCATGGACTGTATTAAGTTATATAGTTGTCTTGTCTGTACATTCAAAGTATTTTTCCGCGCGGCAGTAGAAAGGTCAACACATTTCTGCCCGACTGTGGCCAACAGTAAGACAATTGTTGCCCTCTCTGCTTCAGGGAACTTCCTCTCCGCTGAGATGTTTGTGAGAGTGAGAGGAACACGTCGGTGGCTATTTGCACACGAGTCTATACAGTACAACTTCTTCTCCGCTGAGATGTTTGTGGGAGTGAGAGGAACACGTCGGTGGCTATTTGCACACGAGTCTATACAGTAGAACTTCCTCTCCGCTGAGATGTTTGTGGGAGTGAGAGGAACATGTCGGTGGCTATTTGCACACGAGTCTATACAGTAGAACTTCCTCTCCGCTGAGATGTTTGTGGGAGTGAGAGGAACACGTCGGTGGCTATTTGCACACGAGTCTATACAGTACAACTTCTTCTCCGCTGAGATGTTTGTGGGAGTGAGAGGAACACGTCGGTGGCTATTTGCACACGAGTCAATACAGTACAGCTTCCTCTCCACATGCGACTTCCATGTGCCATGCAGTATCATCTGGCTGTAATCATGTAAAGATATGTGGAGAGAGGACACAAGCCTACGTTGTGTACAGACTTCAACAAAAGTTAAGGACCACTTGCAAACACTCTGGGTGGTCTTCTCGGGTCGACCTGCTCGTGGGCGTTCTTGGACTGATTCAGTGGCTTGATGGCACTGCCTCAGGCGGATAATGACAGAGTGTGACACTGCAAGCCTTCTGGCAACTTCTCGGGCTCCAACTCGATCCTGCAGCCATCCATAGCTCTGGCTCGATCAAAGTCTCCCAGCTTTCGTCTTGGTGGCATGTTGATGCGGTATTGGATTTTGCGCAAACGGCGGCTTATATTGCCGTCACAGTGAGCGCAGTTCGAGACCGTGCGTCCGTTTATGACGTGCACCAGAAATTTTAACTGAGGAATGTCCGTGGTGTCGCGCACTAGTCCATAAAAACAGCAAATTTGGCTAAAATTCCCCGAGGATTTCCGGGCTGCATGTGGTGGTTTTTGTCCTTTAGGAAACTTTGGGGTACACATTGTCAACTCATTAACACTTTCACAGCAAAACATTTTGAAACATTCCTTGATGTCTTTTTTTCGGATATTTTTAAAAATTAGGACTGTCTGTCAAGGTGGTCCCTAACTTTTGTTGATGTCTGTATTTTGTCCTACTCCTCTAGCTATAGATCTATATTTTGTATAGAGATGATAAAGAGACGTAGAGGGAAGACATACATAATTTTGTCCTACTCCTCTGGCTATAATAATTGTTCATGTACAGAGATGATAGAGAGATGTGGAGAGAAGACGTACATCATTTGTCCTACTCCGGGTTGGCCTGTCCTGACTGTCCTGTATACACAGAGCTCGGTCTGGACCCCAGTAGCTGCCTCTGGTGTTCCCAGTGACGGCTGCGTGGTGTTCCCAGTGACGGCTGCGTGGTGTACCCAGTGACGGTTGCTCGGGACTCTTACGTCTCTACTCTCATCTTTATTTCCATCTATGTTTTAGTTTTAGTAAAGATTTTACGGCGCTTGCAACTGCAAAAGGTCATATGAGCGCCAGAATATTAGAGGTGTTACAATTACAAGAGAGTAACAAACATAAAAAGAAGGGGAGATGAGGATGATAAGAGTTTGATGATAGGAAAGAAGAAACAAACCACACCAGAGCACCTGCCTAACCACCCATCATCTATGTTTAAGCCCGTCAGGGTGTGGAGTACAATACAATATATGAATTCTCCGTGTCATTTCGTCAAATGTTTAGAGCCGTCGAGTGTGCGGACAGCGCAGCATGCAGACAGTGACTAGCATCTACGGCAGGGACAAAGTTGGAAGCTGTATGTGTGTATGTGTGTACGTGTGTACGTGTGCATGTCAAGTATGTGTCACACGCCCCTGTCTACACCAGTACATGTAGTGTGAGGTCATTGGAAATTGGGATCTCTAACTCCAAGAGGACTGTGCCAAATGGGTTGACAGCCTTGGAAATTTTTCACAAAACGATCCGAGTTAAAAAATGCCCAATCTGGGATTCGAACTAGAATCTTCTGCTTTATAGTCCAACATGACACGATCGAATACAGCAAGACAAACAGAAACAACAGAGGGGAAGAAAAGTTGGACACTGGGTAAAGAGCAGTCAGTACATCGATACAAGAATGGTCACATTGTGCTGGGAAGAAAAAAGACATTTGCAGTTCTAGAATTAATTTATGAAAGTTTTATGGCACTTGCAACACAATCAGGCCATAAAAGTGCTGAAGATTTGAGGTGTTACAAGACAGCAACAAACACAAAAAAGAGAGATAAGGACAACAATAGATGTTTTAGTTTTAGATGTTTTAGTAAGAGTTTTGTTTTGTTTTAGTAGAGGTTTTACGGCGCTCGCAACTGCATAAGGTCATAAGAGCGCCAGAAGATTAGAGGTGTTACAAGAGAGTAACAAACATAAAAAAGAAGAAGGGGAGATAAGGAAGGATAGATGTTTGATAGGATAGAAGAAGCAGACCACACCAGAGCACCCGCCAACCACCCAGAGTTTTACGGCACTTGCAACACAATAAGGTCATATAAGTGCCAAAGAGTAGATGTGTCACAAGACAGCAACAAACACAAAAAAGAAGGAGGAGAGATAAGAATAACGATAGATGTTTGATGGGAAAGAAGGAGCAAACCACACCAGAGCACCCGCCAACATCCCACAAAGAAAGACATAGAAACAACAGAGGGAAAGAAAACAAGTAGGGCTTCCTCCCATAGGCGCCCTCCAACCTCCCGCAGGAAAAGAAAAAAAGAAAAAGAAACACCATCAAGATGTGAAATAAACATGTAGAAAACCCAAACCACCAACATTTGGCAACAATATCTTTATTTTCAATCATAGAAATAGGAACCTTTGTATTCTGCAGAGAACATGGCGGAATACACAGCAACAACGCTAGCTAGCATTTCTCATCTGCACTTGCTCACTGGCCTACCAGCACCATGGCACACCTCACCTACACATCCCACTTTCCAGACCTACCATATCACCACACCGCACCTACACATCCCACTTTCCAGACCTACCATATCACCACACCTCACCTACACATCCCACTTTCCAGACCTACCATATCACCACACCGCACCTACACATCCCACTTTCCAGACCTACCATATCACCACACCGCAC